TGGTCTGAAACTCCTGAACTCAAGCAATATATCTGTTTTGGCCTCCCAGAGTGCTAGGATTATACAGAGTGCTAACTGTACTGTGATATTAGAACCTAACAAAGACATTACAAAAAAAGAATACTACAGAACAAGATAACTCATAAATATAAATGTAAAAGTTCTCAACAAAATAGTAGCAAATTGCATTCAGCAAAATAACAGTAATAATAATAATAATCTTGGCTTGGCGCCTGTAGCACAGTGATTGGTGGGTTCGAACCCAGCCCAGGTCTGCTAAACAACAATGACAACTGGAACAACAACAAAATAGCCAGGTATTGTGGTGGGCACCCGTAGTCCCAACTACTTGGGAAGCTGAGGCAAGAGAATCAGACATGAGGCACCATGCCTGACTGTTTAAAAAAATTTTTTTTATTAAATCATAACTGTATACATTTATGGGGTACAATGTGATGATTTGATATACAATATGGAATGCTTGAATTAAACTGATTAACATTACCATCACCTCGCTTACTTATTTTTTGTGGTAAGACACTTACAGTTTATTCTCAGTTGTTTGGAAATATACACTTGCATTGTGTACTTACTCGAGATCCTGTCAAATACTCTCCCTCCAAACACCTCCCTGTCCCATTTTTTTCTTATAGAAGCATTTAATGTTATAAACTTCCCTCTAAATGTTCTTTTATCTGCATCCCACACATTTTGACATAGTATATTTTAATTTTTACTCAGTTCTGATTTTTTAAAAAGAAATCTGAGATTTCTTTGGCTTATGGATTATTTATAAGTGTATTATTTAACTTCCGGGTGTTTGGATATTTTTTATCTTTCTCTTACTGTTTTCTAGTTTGATCCCATTATGGTCAGAGAATATACTTTGTATAATTTTAATTCTCCTAAATTTATGGAGGCTTGCTTCATGGCCCAGATGGACTATTCTGATGAGCACTCCCTGTACATTTGAAAATCATGTTTATTTTGCTGTTATTAGGCCCCATTTTGTATAAACATAAATTATTTCCAATTGGTTGATGATGTTGTTCAGTTCTTCTGTATCTTTGCTGATTTTCTCTTCCTTGGTTCCTTTTCTTTCTTTCCTGACCACACAGCTTGTATTCATTGGCCACAGTGTAAGAAATGTCGCAGGAGGCAAGAAGTCATCTGCAATAAATAATGATTACATTTTTCTAAAATGATATGAACATTAACTCTTGGTTGAACAGTGATGCTATTTCTTCTCATGGCAGTTTCTGTCTTCACTGTTTAAATAGATAAATAAAGTCAATTTCAGTCTTTCCTCCCTCTGCTGCAGCAGCTGGGATAATTTCTTCATGCACTCCATCTACTTCCCCAGGTGTTCACAGGAGGTTTCTGTTTACTTTCCATGCACGAGGAGTTAGATTACTTTATGTCACTCATATACTCCTTACTTTCAAGACGGAGAAGCTGGTCTTGTAAGCTTCTTACCTTTATAACACTGAGAACAGCAGGACAGAACAGGCAGCATTTCATGAATGAAGGGACATTGGGCTAGTGAATAGGCAACAAGAATTCTTTTGTTAAGAAACCTTGGCAAATTTCATACTATACTTCATTTTTCTTTTCTTTTCTTTTTTTTTTTTTTTTTGAGACAGTCTTACTTTGTCACCCTTGGTAGAGTGTCGTGGCATCATAGCTCACAGCAACCTCAAACTCTTGGGCTCAAGTGATCCTCTTGGCTCAGCCTCTCAAACAGCTGAGACTACAGGTGCCCGCCACAATGCCAGGATGTTTTTAGAGACGGGGTGTCACTCTTGCTCAGGCTAACTGCCTGCCTCTGCCTCCTAGTGTGCTAGGATTACAGGCATGAGCCCCTACAACGCCATTTTTCTAATCTGTGATATGAGATTGTTTAGCTAAATCATCTCTAATGTTGCTGAGACTCCTCAAATCTTTGATTCTAATTTTAATTTGTTTGATTCTATTGTTTATCAATAGGGTAGACCAGGGGATATTGGGGTTTTGATTTTAATTTGTATGACAAGCACATTTTCGTTGCCATAACTAAGCTTTTCTCTCTGAGAAAAATCAAAGGAAAGTTCCATACCCCTTTTAGTTATTATTTATGAAGGATCTTAACAGTCAAAAGAAAAGGATGACTAAGTTTAGATATTTAGATTTGGTTTTAGAGTACACTTGCCTTTTGATCTGTTGACACTACAAATAAGAAGGAAGAGAAGAAATTAAGAACCTCTTTTCACCAGGCTGAATTGTTTTTGTTTGGGATGTAGATACTGCAATGTAACAGATTTTTGATTATTTGACATTTAAAATTGTTTGAAGATTGGATGAAACTCCTCCACTCTTTTATTATTTCTTGTCTTTATTTAAAGATCTGTTCCTAAATGAAACACGATATGCAGGAATACATGGTGAACGCTGACGCCCTGTTGCAGCAGGGTTGTTGAATACCGGGTCTGATACCTAGCAGCCTGTGTAACGTGCTTGTTGTCTCACTTCCACCTTTGGGTGATTGGTATTGACCATCAGTCTCATGTGCTTAGAAAGTAAACATTCTGAGAACTGAAGATCTCCTGTTTCTTTAAAATGTGTCTGAGTTCAAATTCTTTGTATCCTTCTCAAAATGGCTGATGAATTGTGCTCTACACCACGTGGTATCTAAAACAAAGAAGCGTGATTCAGGGCTTGAGGTTAATATACCAAAGGTTGCCGGTAAAGTTGCCATGCATAGAGAAAATGGGAAATTGTAGCAAATTGTAGCAAAATATACCTTTACAAAGCAAAATTTTACAAAGAGGTGGCCAACATATAGAGAATATTTTGTAGTGAATATTTTGTAAAGAAAGGTACATTTAGCTCCAATCCCCCATTTTCCCTATGTATAGTGACTGTATGAGCCATAGTTAGGACACTCTGTACTTTACAATGTAGCTGACAGAAGTCTTTGGGGGAAATGAGCCTGTCTTTGTTGACCAAGATTATGATTCTTCTTGCAACTTACCTGAGTGGTGTTGCATCCCCTTTTGTAGCCTATAAAAGAAATTAGTCTTATGCTTGGAAAAATAAATAAACATATTCACGAACTTGTACCAGGGGATAACACCTGGGATATCCATTAGTTCTATTGCTGAGAGTGGGGTGTTGAAGTCTCCAACTATAATTGTGGATTTACCTACTTTTCCTTTTAATAACTCTGTCAGTTTTACTCCGTGTACTTTGAAGTTCTGTTGTGAGATACATGTCCATCTAGAACTGTTGTGCCTTCTTGGTGAATTAAATTTTTCCCACTTTATGATTGGTAATGTTCTTTACTTTGAAGTCGATTTTGCCTGATATAAATATATCCAGTCTAGCTCTCTTTTGATTTATGTTGGCATAGTAGCATCATTTTCCTCTGACCTTATCTATGTTATTATATTTGAAATGGGCATTGCATAGATAGCATATAGCCGAGTCAATTAAAAAATCATCTGACAGTCTCTGTCTTTTAAATGATATATTTAGACAGTTCATTTACAGTCTGTATAATGATTTATATTTTGGTCTACTATTATTTGCTTTCTGCTTGTTTCCTCAGCTCTTTTCTGCCTCCTTTTGGGTCTTTGGACACTTTTAGTGTTCCTTTAAATTTTATTGCATTTAAAAAATATATGCATACTACATATGTATAAATATGCATATATGTGATTTTTTAGTGCTTGCTTTAGGGATTGCCGCCTACATACTTAACTTTTCATTAGTGAAGTCAATATTTTGTTACTTCAAGTGGGATTTAGAGATTTCCCATCATATATTTTTCTTTGTCCTTCTCCCCAGTTTTCCCTATGCTGAAAATTATCTAAGATAATATAATTTTTGCTTTCAACCAGTAAGCGTTTTCAAGAACCCAAAGGAGAGAAATAGTCTATTATATGTATCCATATTTCTCATTTTTGTTGCTCTTCCTTCATTCCTGATGTGCCAGTTTCCTTCTGGTGTCATTTCAGAGAAGATATGGTGGCAGCAAATTTTTAGTTTTTCTTCATCTGAGAATGTCTTTATTTCATCTTTTTTTCTTAAGGATCTTTTTACTGAGCAGAAAATTATTGGTTGACAGGTCTTTATTTTGGCACTTAAAAAATATTATTTCACTTATTTCTGTCTCATAATTTCTGATAAGAAAACCACCATCCTGCAAATTATTGTTACTCTAGCACATCATTTTTCTTGGGTTGCTTGTAAGACTTTTTTTTCTTTGTCTTTAGCTTTCAGCAGTCTGATTATGTGTCAAGAAGAGGTTTCCTTATGTTTATTCTATTTGGGTTTTGCTGAGCTTCTTAATTTCTATAGGTCTATGTCTTTGGCAAATTTGGGAAGTTTTCAATCATTATTTTCTCAAATATTTTTCTTTTTTTTTTTTTTTTAGTCACAGAGTCAAAAAAAAGTTTATTTGAGAATAAGAGTGAAAGCTTTTGCACATCTAACAAGGCAGACTTGTTATGACAGTAGATGCCATCCATATTCAGCTCTACCAATATGATCACAAATGGAACAACTGTTTCTTACAAAGATACGGGCATAAGTAAAGGATTATGATAACTAGAGTCAAAGAAAAGGTCAGGCCCCAAATCTTATTCATTAGACTGACTCATAACAAAGGATTTAAGTCAAACCATTAAAGTCTCTTAATGTAGTAGTTCTCAACTTGGCTTCTTATCAGAATCCCAGGAACTCTTTGAAAGAGAGTTCAATAACCAGGCTGTGCCCCAGAGTCTCTAGAGGTGGGACCCCAGCCTGAGTATTTTTTAAAGCTCCCTAGATGATTCCAATGTGCAGTTGATCACCAGGCACTAAAGGCAGGTAACTATTATCAGCAAGTCCCTAAGTCCATCAACCCTAGCAAGGAAGGGGGAATCATTTGGGCAACACTGATTTTCACTGACACTATCTTTCACTCTGCTCAAAACTCTATCAGCTTCTGCTGTAATGTTTAGTCTTTCCAGATGCCACAGTGATTTTTAGAGCAATTATTTAATTAGGCGAATACCAGCAGAGAGAAAACTATAGGAAAAGAAAGAAATTTCCATAAGGCATGATATGAATAAATAAGTGAAAAAACAATTACAGGCTTAAAAGTAAAACATGAGAAGTCAAAGCCTGTGAAATTTTATTTATACAAAAGAATAAAAATAGAAAGGACTGATTCAAACTTATGTTTTTCCATTTTTCCTATTCCTTGAATAGGAATCTGCTTCCAACTCAGAAAGATTTAAGATAGGTAATTACTAAATAAACACTCTTTTACCTTCCCTTGCAAAAAACCAAAGAGCCAAGTTTCCCATTTTACTTAACAACAAACCAGAGTTTCTTTTCCGTTAAGAATATTGGCAACTGCATGAAACAGATTATCAGATATGCCAGCAGGAAGGTATGAGCTGTACAAAGGCATTACAAAAAAAGGCCCAGAAGAAAATACAATGGTAAAAACAACAATAGAAAAAGAATAAAACACAAAACCAAATAAGAAAATGCCAGATATTTACAGCCTCTGTCTGAAATGTGACTTGTGTTCTACTTTCAGCATGAGATAAAACCAGAGAACATTTCTTGATGGGTATCACACACAAAGCTGGTGCCAGCCAGTTTAGGGGAAGACATTCATTCTAAGAAGGGAGAAATGCATGGTTAGCAGTTTGTTGGGATTATATAACCAGGTTTTGGTCTTCCTGCAATTCTGTTACTAAAAATGACACAAATTAAATGATCCAAGTTTTACAGAAATGACTCGTCACCACATTTAGAACAAACTATTCAAGAGTCACAGGCACTGGGTCTGGGAGAGCGAGGTGGACGGCCACACACTCAGGTGAGGGATGTTCATCTTTGTGAGGTCGGAGATGGGAAGCAGGGCTCTATAGCCTGGAAGCTTCTGCACGAATGAGTCTTCTAATAGTCAGCTCGTGGTTTTTTGTTTAACTTCAGATCAATCCTGTGCCGGTTTTTATTCTTTCGTTTTTTATGGCTGCTGTGATGACTCCCTGAGGAAGTGGAAGAAGCAGCCTTCTGAGGTTTCACTCCCTGCACAGATCCATCCAGATCCTCAGGGTCCTCCTGGCTGGGCTCATTTTCCTGATTGTGGAAGTCTGGAGAAGTATCACTTTCCGTCCCACTTCCTGGTTCCCTCTTTTCAATGAGCTGGTCCTGAACTCCTGCCAACGCACTTACTGCAGCTGCTGATGTAACTGAAGATTTACTGAAGAGCCGTTCAGCTTCCTTAAATTTCCGGTTCCTTGGATCATTTTTGCTATTGGAGTTTTTTTGGTTGGTCAGATACCGATCCCAGCCACGAATAATATTGCCATACATCTGAGTGTCTTCCAGGTAGCTTCCTTCAAAAGCATAGATCTGTCTCTCCAAGTCTGCCAATGTTTCCGCTAGCTCCTGTTTCCGCTTCACGAGCTCCGCCAGCTCCCGCCGGGTGTCCGGGATCTGCGGTGGGGCCGCCTTGTTGTGCATCGCCATGTTGGGCTCTCAAATATTTTTCTACACCACACTTTTTCTCCTCTCCTGCTGGGACTTTGATGACACAAATGTTAGACCTTTTGGTATTATCCCTCCGGTTCTTAGATCCCAGAGCTGCTTCCCTGAGCTTCCTCCTTTCTGTCATCTCCCTGGCACATTCTGATTCCCTGTGATTCTTGGTCCCCTGGCCAAAAAGCTGGGATCTATTTACCTTGTTCTGTGATGCATTTCCTGTGGCCATGCCTGCACCTGCGGCCAGACAGTGGAAAGATGTGTGTGTGGGGGGACATTAAGCATTCATCCCACCCTCCTAGGAGCACAGCTCCTCTGAATGGGCAGGAAGTTTCCCCTCTCTCAGAGTTTTAGGCTCCTTCTGGCCTCCTTTGCTGCTGCTGCCACAGGATTGCTTGGGAATTGGGGTGCGAGATAATGGAGAAAAGAAAAAAGAAATGGAAAAGAGAAGTGGGAGATCCCTGTACTCTCTGAACATTAGATCTCTTTCCTGCCTCTTAAGCCAGAACTAGAGGGTATTCTCCCTCTGTGCTCACAGATGCCCACTGTGGGTTTCGGGTTACACTGAGTTCAGTTTGGGGAGTATCAGACAAAAAATGTAGTAAACTCACTGTTACATAGGTGGTATGTTCAAATATATTCTTCTCCCCCAATCTGCCTACTTTGATCAACTCACAGAGTCTTCATATAGTTGTTCCACTTTCATCAAGAGAGACTGTAGATTGTGTTTATTTCATCTTATGTGGAACTGGAACTTCTTCCTACTAGGATTTTGATTGTGATTACATTGAGTCTGTTGGCCAATTTAGGAAGAATTGACATTTTCATAATATCAAGTGAAATGGAATGTTAAATTACTTTCTTGGGATAAATTCCATTTGGTCTTGACATGAGAGGAGCGTGAAAGCCTATTCTCTGCTATGTCCCTGCTCATTGAGTTTGGGGAGTGTATGGAGTCAGCACAAGGGGGTGTTGGGGATGGCAGGAGACTCATGCCCTGGATTAGAGAGATTCCTGGTTATAATCTAGGTTCTTCTGCTGTTCATTTCCTCGCTACCCTCCCCCAGGGAACCTTACCTATTAGAAAATCTCCTGTATCTCTGTTCAGGCAAGACACTCCCCTTAGGTAATAATACTCCAGTGTTCAGGGCAGATGAACAGACCTGTCATTCTATTCCCTAACTTGGCCAGCTTCCTGAACTGCTGTTTAACATCCCTCCCCTAAACTTCTGCTGAGTTAGAGGTCCTGTTTTCCTTTTTGCAGTCACTACAGGACAGACAGTGACCTGGAGGAGGGCAATGTCAGGCAGAGAGGAGGGCAGGACCGGAAGGCTCACCCTGCCCCTGCCCTGCTGGATGCACCCAGCCCTCCCCTCCTCCCCTCCTAACCTTTGTTCTCCTTAGCACATCCAGTCTCCTCTGTCTCCTTGGGGGCTTCCTACAGCTCTGTTTATTTTCTGCTGTCTAATGATTTCATTCTCACTTCTGTGGCCTCTCCATGCTCAGGCTTGGCTGGTGGATCCAGCCACCCATGTTAATTCTGCTTTGCCTGAAATAGAAATTAATTTCTATATCTCAGGAACTATAAGTCAACTTGTAACAGATAACACAACAGTACTATTAAGTGCACAAAGATAACGGAGCAATACCTTCCTACTGCTGCAGGGAAATAAATTTGAACTTGAATTCTATACTTAGCCAAAGTGTCAGTCACACTACCCAAGCCTCCCTCAGGAAAAGAGCTCACCCCAAATGCAATGTATGTCAATGCTTCCATTTCAACCCTTGTTAGTGTTTGGCTTCATATTAATAAAGCAATATAAAAGTAATCCAAACCCACTGATTAATTAAAACAAATCAAAGTTTGCTACTTTGGGGGACTGAGATGAAGGGAGAGGTTATTATTTTCTTTTGTGATACAATTATTATTATTATTATTTTTGCAGTTTTTTGGCCAGGGCTGGGTTTGAACCCACCACCCTCATCATATGGGGCCAGTGCCCTACTCCTTGAGCCACAAGCGCTGCCCATTGTGATACAATTATTATCTTTTCTGGCCGATCATGCCTGTAATCCCAGCACTCTGGGAGGCCCAGGCAGGTGGATTGCTTGAGCTCTGGAGTTCGAGACCAGCCTGAGCAAGAGCAAGACCCCATCTCTGCTGAACATAGAAAAGTTGAGGCAAGGGGATCAATTTTTCCAGGCACTTCAGTCAGGGTGCCAGAGTAAGACTATGTCTCAAAAAAAAAAAAATTATTATCTTTTCTTTGTAAAATTTTAACGGGGCACTGAGTATGAAATAAAAGCCTTCTCTTCCTCAGTCCCTTCACTTCATTCCCCAGAGGTACCCACTGTTCATAGGCTTTGGTGCTTCACAGAATTTTCTGTGTATGTTTGCATACGTGTCGGTGCACCATGCACACCTGTGCACACTTGTGTGTATATGCATGTCAGAGTATGCATGTGTTTTGTATGAATCTCAGCAGGCTGCATATAATGTTTTGTAATTAGTTTTTTTCTCTTGGCAGCATTTCTTTCCCTTTTTCTACAAGTAGATCTCCCTCATCAGTTTTATCTTTTTATTTTTTATTTATTTACTTTGAATTTCAATAGATTGAGGCAGTACAAGTGGTTTTTTTGATACATGGATGAATTGTACAGTGGTGATGTCAGGGCTTTTAGTGCACCTTAAACTCATATAGGATACATTTGTACTTGACAGGTAATTTTTGATCCCTCACCCTCTGCCCAACCTCACCCCTTTTGAGTCTCTGAAGTCCATTTCTGCAGTTCCCAGCCACCAGGCTGGGTCAGGCTGCAGACTGGTAGTGGTCTGTGGCCTGTTAGGAACTGGGCTGCATAGCAGGAGGTGAGCGGCAAGCAAGTGAGTGAAACATCATCTGTATTTACAGCCACTCCCCTTTGCTCACATCCCTATCTGAGCTCCACTGACTGTCCGAACAGCTGCAGCATTAGATTCTCATAGGAGTAAGACCTTTACTGTAAACTGCACAGGTGAGGGGTCCAGGCTGCATGCTCCTTATAAGAATCTAGTGCCTGATGATCCGAGGGGGAGCTGAGGACATAAATAGCACACTTCAGGTGTCACTGTCTCTCATCACCCCCAGATGGGGCCATCCAACTGCAGGAAAACAAGCTCAGGGCTCCCACTGATTTCTGCACTATGGTGAGTTGTATGAAATAATTCTACAGCTCATCATAGTGCAGAATCAGACAAATAGACTGGTAGAGTAAATACATAATTTATCCTAACGCAGTGGAGAAATGAGACATTTAAATGAATTTAAATATTCCATTAAAGACATTGGGACGATGGGGTATCTGTTTAGAAAATAAAAAGGTAGCTTCTTCCTGCTCACACTATTCACACCCAAAAAATTCCAGGTGGACGAGTGACTTAAACAAAAAAAAAACCCAAAGTGTTAAAGTACCATAATACTATATAGAATGTGTCTATGATCTTGAAGAGATCCCTAAACAAGTCCCCAAAGCAAAATTCACAAAAATTTAATAAATTTGACTGCCTCAAAATTATATAAAATGTAAATGAAAAGTGACAGACTAGAAAAAAGATTTGCATCATACATAAGAAGAGCTGAAAGATCAGTGTTTAGCCAGAATATCTAACAACGTCTATAAAACAATAAAAAGAGTGACGATCCAATAGAAAAATGGACAAAACCAAACACAGGAAAGTTGCAGAAGATGCAATACCAATGATAACGTGCTCAACCTCACTATTAACCAAAGAACTAACAACTGAACCCACACTGTGATTGATTCCATTCTTTGCCTGTGAACCTTTTACAGAGTGCGGAGAACAGTTTAGCAATATCTGTTACAAATTTAAAATGCACAATACCTATGGCCCACTTCTTCATCTCTATGGTAACATAGAGAACTTTTGTGTATGTGCCCAAGGTGGCTTCTCAAGGCATTGTTTTTAACAGTGAAAAAACGGGCACATGTCAACTCCCATCAACAGAGGACACCATTTACGGAAAACC